ACTGAATTTTCTTATCACGTAGTACTACATTCCATCGAACTTGATTACCATATACATATCATATATCATACATCACATCATATATCATACATCACGTCATATACATTGTTACTCAACTTTACTATCATTTGCTACCATGTTCCACTGAATTTTCTTATCACGTAGTACTACATTCCATCGAACTTGATTACCATATACATATCATATATCATACATCACATCATATATCATACATCACGTCATATACATTGTTACTCAACTTTACTATCATTTGCTACCATATTCTACTGAATTTTCTTATCACGTAGTACTACGTTCCATTGAACTTGATTATCATATACTACATATTACATAACTTTGCTATCTTCTGCTACCATGTTCTACTGAATTCTATTATCGTAGCACTACGTTGCAAAAAATTCTTATCGCGTCGCGTTGCAATTCCGTTATCGCCATGTAATTCTCTTATCACGTAGCATTACGTTGATCACCAGGTTGAATGTATAGTCATTATTCTAGTAGCCGTTGATTGCATAAGCGTTAATGCAGGTTGATCGATAAAATTATCCGAGGAACGAGTATTCAAGCAAAAATGATGTCACTCGACGGTCTTTTACGTGCACAGGTTATTTTAATGACAAATGATTAAGGCACTACGAAATACGCGCTAATTGCCGTTAAATTCCGATACAAAACAACTCACACGTGTTTATTAAAGAAAAAAAGAGTTGTATGTAAAATATGGTAAAAAATGTGAAACGTGTTGGACGGACAATTTTTTTTTTTTGGAGAATCCCCGGAGTCACTTTAAATTTCTTATTGCGAGCTTACAACGCAGATTATCTCATAAACGATCGGACACGACGTTTATGATAATATACTGCTATTATAGTAATAGACATCTAATAAACGGGCAATTCAACCGTGGATCTGTTTTTTTTTCGTCGGCTTTTTTTGCTAATCCATTAGCGCTCTCGGCATAAAACTCTATTAATACACAATTTTATTTTAAAGTCGCTTGCAAGTTAGACTCGTCAGCTGCATTCGACGTCATCGTTTCTAGATTGAAATTTTTCGTCTTTTAACGTGACGTGTAACTTGTTTGGTATAATACACAATGGCTTTAATAATCGACCTTACAGGCAAATAATGTATAAATGGATTCGATTAAATATATGAGATAACATTACGTTGTAAAATTATAGTGTACAAGATTACCTAATTATAAGATCAGAAAGGAAACTACAATCATAAAATTATGGAACAGAAAAATTGGTTTAATGCATGCTTGCAATGTACAGCTATAACGTAAAGACAAAAAATCTTTATATAAAAAAGTATATCTTTTTATAATAAAAATGTATCGTGCAGTTCTTGCAAACGAGATCTACTTGCAATAACTTTTTGTCGCTCATATAAAAATGACGACTACATGTACGAATAATTAATCGACATTCTAAAATACCGAAACCAATCAAAAATTCTAATAAAACGCCGCATATTTTGCCATCAATTACAATTAACTAGAATTTGCTTCGGCACAAATTGACCTGAACGTTGCTTTGCGTACTAATCAGTTATCTCGCGGAACACGTAAGTTAGAAAGTAGAAAAATTATCTTTCGAGATAGATTTATAGTAGTCAGTTAACAGTCCTGCCTACTGTACTACTCGTTACTCAGTCAGAATTCCATTTGCTAAATTCCTGGCCTTCACTTTTCGTTGCTCCTTGTATTTCCAGTCGAGAGCAACCGAAATATTCCGACCGTTTCATTTATTTCATCCGCATTCTGTATAGAAATGGGAAAAAGAGAAATGCAACGGAGTCGGTTATTTACAGAAGTTACATTTTTCGAATGGTTGTCTACAAAGTGCAAAGATAATTGAGGCGGTTCATTAATTTTAAATATTGATAGCTTATAAGGAGCAGTATGAAAGTTTTGAGAACTTTCATTGGATAGAGGTATTAGAAAGTGAGTTTACTGTGTATGGTAGTGAGGCATAGGATATATTCACATCAATTTTCTTCTTTACAATCATTAATTCAAGTATTAATGGTCTACTAATTTTTATGCAAATTTATAGTGATGTAGCGTGAGTTATAGCTGAGTCTATTTAACGCTGAGTTATCAAACTAAAGATTGTAGGACAATAATTAAAGATCAGTGGTTGTTGAACGATTCATTCTAATCGGTGACTATACTGAAAGAATGATAACAAAAGAAACTAAACTCGGCTTGCAACACATGCTGACTTCAACTCTGACTTCATAAAATTCAATACATTCTGAATTCACACAATTCAACACACTCTGACTTCATGCAATTCAATACATACTGAATTCACACAATTCAACATACTCTGACTTCATACAATTCAATACATACTGAATTCACACAATTCAACACACTCTGACTTCACGCTATGCATTCATCTCACAAGATTAACAAGGTTCCTCCAGTTGGATATGTGGATCTCTGTATTAGATTCTTGGATCTACTAGATTTTAGATGTATTAGATCTTGAATGGTTGGACATTTGCAAAAGTGGATTCTTGGACAGGTGGACACTTGAATAGACTCTTCAATGAGTAAATTTTCATACTGATAGATTCTTGAATAGATGGATTCTGGAACATTTGGAGTTTGGGATTAATGAACTTCTAGATGAGCTGATCTCTGAATGAGTGGACAATTAGATGGCTGGATCTGTAGATGGATGGATGGACTCCTAGATGAATGGATCTCACAGTAGATGGATGGACTGATAGATGAGTGGATCTCTTAGTAGGCGAATTCCTAGATAGGTGGATGTTTTGATTAGTAAATTCATAAGCAAGTGGAATATTATATAAATGGATTTCAGGATATATGGACTCTTACATATGTGGATCTCTGAATAAGTGGACTCCTAGGTGCGTGGATCTCTGGATGGTTGGTTTCCTAGGTATGTAGATCTCAGGATGGGTGGACTCCTAGATGACTGGATCCCTGGATAAGTAAATTCCTACATGGGTGGTATCTTGGATTGGTGGATCTCTGGATAGGTGATTTCCTAAGTGTGTGAATCTGTGAGTGTGTGGATTCCTAGGTGCGTGGATATCTGGATGGGTAGACTCTTAGATGATTGGATCTCTGGACGGGTGGACTCCTAGATGACTGGATCCCTGGATAAGTAGATTCCTACATGGGTGGTATCTTGGATTGGTGGATCTCTGGATAGGTGATTTCCTAAGTGTGTGAATCTGTGAGTGTGTGGATTCCTAGGTGCGTGGATATCTGGATGGGTAGACTCTTAGATGATTGGATCTCTGGACGGGTGGACTCCTAGATGATTGGATCTCTGGATAAGTGGACTCCAAACTGGTCTCGCAAACTCACAATACCAAAAACGATGCATCAGCATTCATCCTCACTCATTACCCTCTACAACATTAAAAATTGTTACAGTTAAATTCCATTACACTAATCATACAAATAATACAAAATCCCTGAACAACCCCTATAATAATCCCCTACAATTAACCTCCACGCTAATGGAAATAAACAAAAAAGACAGAATGCATTCAAGAATAAGATTCTCAGAAGAAAAAGATACCGACCAGAGTTTCTCATTTCTCGCCAATTGAAAAAACACATGCACGCGCGTTTATCCGTTAATCCGTTAATGAGAGCACTCGAGCGCTTCGAAGCGATAATAAAAGTAAAGGCACCGATAACGCTCGACCATGATTACATGGCATTGCAAATACGATTATCAGATCGATCGACCGATACGCAGTCGGATCGAAAAAGCTTCGAGAGAACGGTGGACAAAGAGAGAAACACCTCTGGACGATATCGAAGACAAAGACAAGAAGACGCAAAGAGGCGGTGATCGTTGATAAATGATTTATGCAAGCCACTTAACTCTCATTAATGCCCACAGTCATTCGATACATTGTGGCTGGAGCCTTTTAGAGATCTTTACGACGAATCGTTTTGAGTAAATGAATTATTTTTATAGTCGAAACTTTCTGCTAACAGTCGTTCGGGTTTTATCGAGGGCTTCGTTAATGATGATTTAGGGATACGGTTATTGCGAGTCGGATTAGTTAAGAGTAAGAGGAGGAGCTTGCCATCAATTACTGGGAGTAAGGGGATTTGTAATTTTCGAAATTAATTCATCGATCATTGAATTTTCAAACTTCTACATTAACTGAATTTTCTAAATCCTATGAATCCACAAACTTTTAGACTGGCAAACTCTTAAATGTAGATATTGTTCAAACTCTACAGACATCTCAAACTCTGCAAATTACTAAATTGACAATTTTCTACATTTCCAAACTTGTATGTTTCTTAATTTAAAAACCCCTTAAACTTCTCAAATCTCCAAATCCTTAGATTTACTATTTCCAAAATCTCAAACTTGTAAAATTCTGTATCCAAAAATTGACTAATACCTTAAATATCAGTAGACACCCTATACATTTTACATACATACACATTCATGTGTATCAGTTTCAAAATCGTGATAATATTTATATGAAAAAAGAAGAGATGGTGTTACTCACTGAAATCTCCTGGACAGGACTTGCAGCATCGGCCAGGAAGAAGAACAGGTTCGTCGCACGTAAGTTTCGGGCACTCGTTTTTAATGTTACGACAGTGGACCCTCGCCACGATCCGTCGCTTCTTTTGCACCTACAATACAACATACATTGCTATAAATAAAGGTAATCGATAGGCTGGCGAATTTATAATAATGTCATAACACTTTGGGTGGGTGAATCCTTCGAAGGGTGGATTTCTAGATGCGTGAATCTCTGATACAGGACCAGACCCGGAACTTAATGATTGCATCTCGTAGATGGATTTTTAGATTAGTAAACTTTTAAGCAAGTGCAAAATTATATGGATGGATCTTTGGATAGATGGATTCTTACATGGGTGGATTCCTAAGTGCATAGATCTCTGGATGGGTAGATTCCTAAATAGGTAGATCTCTGGACGGGTGGATTTTTGGAAAGGTGAATGCTTCGAAGAGTGGATTTGTAGATGCGTGAATTTCTGAATAGGTGGATACCTAAATAGGTGAATCTGTGGATGGGTGGATTCCTAAATAGGTTGATCTGTGAATGGGTGGATTTCTAGATGCGTGAATTTGTAATACAGGACCTATCTATACAGGACCAGACCCGGAACTTAATGATTGCACCTCGTAGATGGATTTTTAGATTAGTAAACTTTTAAGCAAGTGCAAAATTATATGGATGGATCTCTGGATGGGTAGATTCCTAAATAGATAAATCTCTGGACGGGTGGATTTTTGGAAAGGTGAATCCTTTGAAGAGTGGATTTGTAGATGTTGTTAGAATCCGGGTTGAGGAATAAAACCACTTTTACTATACTAAATATTTATTGGATTTAAAACCTCTATGGTTACGCCGAACTCAACTTTAACAGAAAATCGTATGAAGAATAGAAACAACGACCTCCTTGCTAACTTGCAGCAAAAAGTGACTCTCTTTCTAAAGTGCCCGTGGTCAGTGAAAATATATATATATCCTCTCTCTAGTGGGGGAGGACGACCTTAGCCCTTGTGACTAATGGTGGATGTACGCTGTCTTTGTTGTTGTGCATCGAGAGAGTCAAGGTTTAGCTATGACATATTATTGGCTTAAGATAGGTCATCCAACAATGCGTGAATTTCTGAATAGGTGGATACCTAAATAGGTGAATCTGTGGATGGGTGGATTCCTAAATAGGTGGATCTGTGGATGAGTGGATTCCTGAACAGGTGGATCTGCAAAAGGGTGGATTTCTAGATGGGTGGTTTTCTAGATGGGTGGATTTCTCGATGGGTGGATTTCTAGATGGGTGAATTTCTGGATGGGTGGATTCCTAAATAGGTGAATCTGTGAATGGGTGGATTCCTGAACAGGTGGATCTGTAAAAGGGTGCATTCCTGAATGGGTGGATTTCTAGATGGGTGGATTTCTAGATCGGTGGATTTCTGGATGGATGGATTTCTCGATGGGTGAATTTCTGGATGGGTGGATTCCTAAATAGGTGAATCTGTGAATGGGTGGATTCCTGAACAGGTGGATCTGTAAAAGGGTGCATTCCTGAATGGGTGGATTTCTAGATGGGTGGATTTCTAGATCGGTGGATTTCTGGATGGATGGATTTCTCGATGGGTGAATTTCTGGATGGGTGGATTCCTAAATAGGTGGATCTGTGAATGGGTGGATTCCTGAACAGGTGGATCTGCAAAAGGGTGGATTTCTAGATGGGTGGTTTTCTAGATGGGTGGATTTCTCGATGGGTGGATTTCTAGATGGGTGAATTTCTGGATGGGTGGATTCCTAAATAGGTGGATCAGTGGATGAGTGGATCCCTAAATAGGTGGATCAGTGGATGAGTGGATTCCTAAATAGGTGAATCAGTGGATGAGTGGATTCCTGAACAGGTGGATTTGTAAAAGGGTGGATTCCTGAATGGGTGGATTTTGGGATGGGTGGATTTCTAGATGGGTGGATTTCTAGATGGGTGGATTTCTAGATGGGTGGATTTCTAGATGGGTGGATTTCTAGATGGGTGGATTTCTAGATGGGTGGATTTCTAGATGGGTGGATTTCTAGATGGGTGGATTTCTAGATGGGTGGATTTCTAGATGGGTGGATTTCTAGATGGGTGGATTTCTAGATGGGTGGATTTCTAGATGGGTGGATTTCTAGATGGGTGGATTTCTAGATGGGTGGATTTCTAGATGGGTGGATTTCTAGATGGGTGGATTTCTAGATGGGTGGATTTCTAGATGGGTGGATTTCTAGATGGGTGGATTTCTGGATGGATGGATTTCTCGATGGGTGAATTTCTGGATGGGTGGATTCCTAAATAGGTGGATCAGTGGATGAGTGGATCCCTAAATAGGTGGATCAGTGGATGAGTGGATTCCTAAATAGATGGATCAGTGGATGAGTGGATTCCTGAACAGGTGGATCTGTAAAAGGGTGGATTCCTGAATGGGTGGATTTCTAGATGGGTGGATTTCTAGATGGGTGGATTTCTAGATGGGTGGATTTCTAGATGGGTGGATTTTGGGATGGGTGGATTTCTCGATGTATGAATTTCTGGATGCGTGGATTCCTAAATAGGTGAATCAGTGGATGAGTGGATTCCTACATACTTAGATCTCTGCATGACTGTACTCTTGAATGTGTGGATCTCTTAAAAAGTAAACTTTTGGAAAAGTAGACTTCTGAATGAGTAATCCCTTGAATGAGTGTATTTCAAAATGGATAGACCCCAAAACAGATAGACCTTCACATGGTTAAACCCCAGGATACTTGAATTCTCAGAACCTCGAATACTTCCATTCTACAATACTTGAATTTTTAGATCTACAACATCCCTAATTCTGTAAACCAAACATTCTAACTCCCATAATCCACGTCCACTCAGTTCTCCACAGCGCAACCTCTAAACTCTAATATCAAAGCTCCGATCACTCGGTATCGCGATCTCCATCGTCACCTCTAACCGTTGCGGTCCACGACTCGTTTCTCGCAGCGAGCGTTAAAAATGACAAACAACTGATATCAAGATAAGGCGAAACGCGTTTACGGAGCATAAAGCCATGTTTAGATCCAATTATCGCCTAAATGTCAACAGGCCTCTGCACATTACTTTTCCATATAAATCGTGCAAATTCCAAGCCACGTTTCTCTATTAACGCGAATGTAATCGTTTTTTTCCCCGACACCGTCAGCTACACGCGTGTTTATTGCTGCTTTACGCATGGCTGCTGATAGCTGCAACGTTTACACGCACTGCACGCATAAATCTATCGGCAAGTAATTGGTAGGTGTTGCTGATCACAAAGGACTCGTTTATCACGGTCAATGGTACCATTATTCGCGACACGGTCTACAATACCGTAATATAAATTATTATTTAACGTCTCTGTCCGCGCGAAAAATGAACACCGCTAAAATACACGTTACGTGTCGAAGTACACAACCTTGTCCCGCGACACTTGCGTATTCACATTTCTGGATTTCGTCGACACTTTCTAACCGTATGTCTTTCCTCTCTATTTCTCTTCAACGTCTTACTACCGATTCTATCTTGTTCTTTACGACATTGTTCCTACTTTATGACCCGACTATGTTGCATTAAAATTCTTTTCGCTTGAACGTCGTTGATGAAATACGACATGGGAGGTTTTACCTATTACTTAACTCGATGTACGCAATTTTATTGCCTTTCTGAATTAATACTCTTAGGGGCTAGGATTTGCGTGGAGTAGAATCTAAGGAAATTTTGGATCTGGAAAAGGGAGAATCTGGAGGTTGGAACTCAAGGGAGGATCTGAGGAAGATTTCAGACCTGAGGAAGATTTAGGACCTGATGAAGATTTAGGACCTGGTGAAACTTATGAGGTTACAGATTCTGGATTTTAGGGGCATCTAGGGTGTACTGGAAGTCTAAGATCACACAGGAAATTTAGGGCCTAGATACTTGGAATTTATAGAAAATTTAGGATGGGAAGGTTAGAACCTATGGAAAGTTAAGGACTTAATAAGGTTTAACTTGTTCAGAGTCTCGAATGTAATGGTTTCTCCATACGGGAGTCTAGAATATGGGAAATATAGAATTCAGAGGAGTCTCGACCTTATCGAGTCCTTAGAATCTATGGAAAATGCAAAAATAGCCTAGGACCTGGTCAATCCTCAAAGAGGTACCTCTGAGTTACCTCTGAGCTACCTCTAGAACCTTCATAAAAATTCCATCTGTATCTTCCAGAGTCAAACAGAACCTAGAACCCTAGATACTCTAGATACCGTATTTGGAAAGGCGAATACTTCGAAGGGTGGATTTTTGAATGGGTGGATTTGTAGATGGATGGATCTGTGGATGGGTGGATTCCTAAATAGGTGGATTTCTGAATGGGTGGATTCTTGAATGGGTGGATTTATAAATGGATGGATCTGTGGATGGGTGGAGTCCTAAATAGGTGGATTCTTGAATGGGTGGATTTATAAATGGATGGATCTGTGGATGGGTAGATTCCTAAATAGCTGGATTTGTGGATGGTTGCATTCCTCAATAGGTGGATTTCTGAATGGGTGGATTTTTGAATGGGTGGATTTGTAGATGGATGGATCTGTGGATGGGTGGATTCTTAAATAGGTGGATTTGCGGATGGATGGATTCCTCAATAGGTGGATTTCTGAATGGGTGGATTTGTAGATGGATGGATCTGTGGATGGATGGATCTGTGGATGGGTAGATTCCTAAATAGCTGGATTTGTGGATGGGTGGATTTCTCAATAGGTGGATTCTTGAATGGGTGGATTTGTAGATGGATGGATCTGTGGATGGGTGGATTCCTAAATAGTTGGATTTGTAAATGGGTGGATTCCTCAATAGGTGGATTTCTGAATAGGTGGATTCTTGAATGGGTGGATTTATGGATGGATGGATTCCTCAATAGGTGGATTTCTTAATGGGTGGATTTGTATATGCATGGATCTGTGGATGGGTGGATTCCTAAATAACTGGATTTGTGGATGGGTGGATCCTCAATAGGTGGATTTCTGAATGGGTGGATTCTTGAATGGGTGGATTTGTAGATGGATGGATCTATGGATGGATGGATTCTTAAATAGGTGGATTTCTGAATGTGTGAATTCCTAAATAGGTGGATTTGTGAATGCGTAAATTCCTAAATAGGCGGATTTGTGGATTCCTAAATAGGTGGATTTTTGGAAAGGTGAATCCTTTGAAGAGTGGATTCTTGAATGTGTAGATACCCCAGATCTTCAGATCTAACTCCTAGATCTCAAAAACCCAAAAAGAACCCCAATCAACAAAACAAACCTTAACCCAAAATCCCGAAACAAGAAATTACGTGATCCACTGAACAAACTGCCTGTACAATAAATATCATAGTTTAAGGCAGATTTGCACCGGGTTATCTCGTCGCGTGAAAAATCGACGCCCAAAGGAAAAAGGATAAGAGATCAGACACGGATCAGAGGAGGTTCCGATTACAAACGGTCCACCGAACAGAAATTAAGTTCGGGGTTTTATAGAGCTGCGCCGGCATTCTTGGAACACGAAACGATACACTCGATATGTTGATTCAAGTGGCGGGGAGGAAAAAAAAAAGAAAGAAAGGGGTGACCGGTCGCGGACGTTAAGAACTTCGAATTACAGTAGAATCGGGACAGCGGGAGTAAATTCCGAGTTTCAGGAGGCTCCTGGACAGTTAACCGGGTCCTGTGAATCCGTAGGTGTAATTTTTATCGCTACGAGATACATTTAGGTGGCGCACGACGCATGCCTCAAAGGCTTCCGATAAGTTCCTGCCAGATAAAATACAGAGTGTAGATAGAAACGGGGTTTGGAGGTCTGTATTATCGAAGAATAATTTTGTTGCGATGGATACAAATTTTCTCATTCACTTTTTGAGTGATTATTCAGTCTTTGAGTAATTGTTTGGTTTCTGAAGGATTTTATACATAGCAAAATAAAATCTTCGAGTTAAAGGATTAATGACACATATAATAACATATATTAGTAACATGTATCATTACATGTGTATTAATAACATGTACCATTTTAGTAAACAATTCAAGGTATTTAATAGATGTTAAATTAAAAGTTAATAAAATACGAAAAAGACACTGTATAGTACCTATAAATGTTAGCTAACTATATGGTGATACTATATGGTACACTATACAATACCATATTTAATTAATCACAGATCACGTCATCAACTTATCAACTCATCAAGAGCCGAACCCAAAGTTACATACTACTAAACCCAAAAAGTATAAAATTCGATAAAAAAACAGCTACAGAAAGAATGAAATATTAGGTCGAGTCATAAGTAACTTCCGTTTTTTTATCAGACATTTATTTCGTTCTCATTAAACAACAAAATTATATTATTTTATTATATATTCACCACTATTTTCTATAACCTTCTCCCATTTTCCTGGTAGTTTATCAATTCCTTCCTTGTAAAATGTGGTTGGTTTGGACTGGAAGAAGCTTTCAACAGCCTGCCTGACTTGCTCTTCAGAATTGAAGGTTTTTCCATTTAAAAAGTTTTGTAAGGAACAGAAAAGTTTTTC